TTAATAAACAGAATACAGCAGAAGTTACATTGGTTGACTTTGGAAGCTGGGTCACAAAAGTTGGTATTTTTTTCCTGACTTCTTTCACTCTTGAGACACTCACCTTTGGAAGCAACCACTGTTCTATGGAGAATTCTACACTAACCCACATGGAGAGACTAAATGGAGAAGAACTCAGATCTCCAGAAATCATAAGGTATGTGAATGAATGATAATTCAGAGGATCCTTATTATTGGTATGTGACATTAAGTTGATTCTTATTCTGACCTACACAACAGAAAAGAACCATCCCATTAGGTTTCCAAGGTTGCAATCTTTATGGGCACAGATCACCACGTCTTTTCTCTCAGGGAACTACTGTTGTTGTTGTATGCCATCGATCCAGAACTGATCCAGAGCTAACCCTCTGGTGGGATTTCAAAGGCAGTTAACTGCACAGGAGACTGTCCATCTCTTGTGGAGCAGCTGGTGAATTCAAATCACGTGCCTTTGGGATTATAGTGCAGCTTCTTGCCACATCAAGTTGGAACTGACCCATAACTGAGCCTCCAGCACATTTTCAGGGGCAATCACATTAGGATTAATCACATAGGAGGAGACTGCCCATCCTTCTCTCACAGAGCAGCTGGTGGATTTGAACCCTGTGCCTTCAGGATTGCAGCGCAGATTCTTACCACCAGGGAAATTAGTTTGGATAGTCAACCTTTAGGTTAGCATCAAGAGCACTGCACCACTAGAGCTTCTTGAAAGGATTCTAACTTTCCACATTTGAACCACCTCATCTGATACAGAGTATAGCAAAGCAGAAACTGAGCCTTGCTCAAACTACAGATTCATAAGTGAACTAAAAGTTGTCATTTTAACCCACAAATTTCTGAGTTTAATAGATGAGGACTGAATGTTGTTGTTGTTGTTGTTATGTGTCATCGAATCACTTGCGACTCATAGCGACCCTATGTACAACAGCCCTAAACTCTGCTCTGTCCTGTGCCAATCGCACTGTCTCTGACACTCCCATCCCGATTATCCCAGTCACTGAATCAGTCCACCTCATAAAGGGTCTTCCCCTCCTATGCTGTCCCTCCACCCTCCCAATCATGATGTCCCTCTCCAAGGACCTGTCCCTCCTTACAACATGTCCAAAGTATATAAGACTAAGCCCCAGAATCCTTGGCTCCAAGGAGCAGCCTGGTTTAACCCTCTCCAGGATGAATCTCTGTTTTCTTGGCAGTCCATGGTATATTCAATACTCTTCTCCAGCACCACAGCTGAAAGGCATCAATTCTCCTTCTATCCTCCCTAGTCATTGTCCAACTCTCTGATGTATAACAAGTGATTGCAAGGACCATAGCCTGTATCAGATGCACCTGTGTTTCCAGAGAGACACTGTTGCTCTTGAGTACTTTAGAGAGGTCCCTAACAGCAGACTTTCCCATCGCAATACGTTTTTTTTATTTCCTGGCTGCTAGTGCCAAGAGTGTTGACTGTGGAGCCAAGCAGACTAAAGTTGTTAACAATCTCAATCTCTTCGCCATCCATCCTGATGCTGCCAATTGGTCCAGGGGTGAGAATCTTTGCTTTCTTGATATTGAGCCTCAATCCATACTGAAGGTTGCAGTCCTTGACCCTCTACAACAAGTGCATCAGGTCCTCCTCAGTTTCAGCAAGCAGGGTTGTGTCAGCTGCATAACACAGATTGTTAATAGATCTACCACCAATCCTGACGCCACACTTCTCCTCATAGAGCCCTGCCTCTCGGATAATCTGTTCTGCATACAGGTTGAAAAGGTATGGAGATAGGGCACATCCCTAGCATACACTTGAATATACCAAATAAAACGAGAAAAAAAAATTCACCTAAAACACAATGAACTAAAGTACAACCACTATGGAAGGCGGTCTGACGCTTTCTCAGAAAATTAGAAATATTATGTTCTATCAAGTCGCATGCAAACTACAGTTACCCTATGTACAGCAGCTCTGAAGCCTGCCCTGTCCTAAGCCAGCCTCATTAATTCTGACACACCATCCCCCATTACCCCAGTCACTGTATCAATCCTTCTCATTTAGAGTCTTACTTTCCTACACTGTTCCTCCACTCTTCCAAGTATGATGCCCTTCTTCAAGGATCTGTCTCTTCTGGCCATATGGCCAAAGTATGAGAGATAGAGCTTCAAAATCCTAGCCTCCAGGGAGAAACTTGGTTTCACCATCTTTAAGACATACCTGTTTGTTTTCTTGGCAGCTCATGGTATGTTCAAGGCTCTTTTCCAGCACCACAATTCTAAGATATCGATTCTTCTTCTGTCATCCTTAGTCACTGTCCAGCTCTCTGATGAATATCAAATAATTGCAAAGACCATGGCCTGGATTAGGCACACAAGGACTGACATCATTGCTTTTTAGTACTCTGGGGAAGTCCTTAACAGCAGATTTTCCCAATACAATTGATCTTTTGATTTTCTGACTGCTGGTGCTAAGAGTGTTGATTGTGGAGCTGAGCAAGCTGTAATTGCTAGCAATCTCAATCTCTTCTCTATCTATCATGGTGCTGCCAATTGACCCAGAGGTGAGAATCTTTGTCTTCTTGATGTTGAACTTCAAGCCATATTGAAGACTACAGTCCTGGACCTTCTGCAGCAACTACTTCAGGGCCTCCTCAGTTTCAGCAAGCAAGGTTGTAGCATTTGCATAATGTATGTTGTTGATGAGTCTTGCTCCAATCCTGATGCCACATTCCTCCTCATAAAGCCCAGCCTCCCAAATGATCTGTTCTGCATAAAGATTGAAAGGGAGGAAAATGTGCAACAATGAATGAAGGGAAATCCAAGTTCTTTATAAACTTTCATTAAAATCTCAATTAAATAAAAAGAAAGAAAAGGTATGGAGACAGGGCACATTCTTGACACAATCCCTTCCTGATTTTGAACCATGAAGTGTTTCCCTGCTCTGTTCTGAGGACAGCTTCCTGGTCCAAGTATAAGTTTCACATAAGCACAATCAAGTGTTCTGGGATTCCCATTTTCTTCAAGGTTAGCTACAACTGGTTGTGATCCACACAGTCAAATGTCTTTGCATAGTCAATGAAACACAGTTAGACATTCTTCTGGTACTCTCTGCTTTCTGCTAAGATCCATCTGACGTGGCCATAATGTCTCTAATGCCATGACCTCTTCGAAACCCAGCTTGTATTTCTGTCAAAGTACTTTTCCAATTGTTTCTGGATAATCTTCAGCATGATATTGCTAGTGTGTGATATTAGTGATACTGTTCTATAATTTCCACAGTTTGTCTGGTCAACATTTTTTGGAATGGGAATAAATACAGATATCTTCTAGTCAGTTTGCCATAGAGATGTCATTTGACCCAGCAATTGCACTAATGGGAATTATACCCTAAAGAAACCAAAACTTCCACCCAAACAGATACATTCACACCCATATTTATCACAGCATTGTTCACAATAGCAAAGAGATAGAAGAAACCCAAGTGCCCATCAACAAATGAATGTATAGAGAAGCTGTGGTATATTCACACACTGGAATACTATGCAGCACTGAAAACAAGGTACTCATAAAATAGTACACAACATGAGTGACCCTGAAGGACATTATGCTGAGTGAAATATCTCAGTCACAAAAGGACAAATACTGTATAAAACCATCGTTATAATACAGGACTGACATGGGGGTTGGGAATAACAAAGAAAAGAGGTTATAAATAATGAATATTGCATTGGAACAGATGAAGGAAAGAACTGATTAGGAATTATTTGTATGACAACAGCCCAGAATAAGAGGTGTACAGCAAAGTAACCTGGGGGAGGGATTGGGAAGGGGGAGCGAGGAAATATGCAAAAATGAATGAATATTTTTTATCTTTTAAAAAAGTTAACTTGGAGGGTAGAAAAAAATTCATCATGAGTCTATAATTCTTAGTCTAAAACTTTCAAATTTTAAAAAATACCCCACTGATTTATATATTCACAATCTTATATTTAAAAATAACCAGATGCCTATTACATTTATAGATAAATATTCAGATGTGTTTGTGTTTGGGGCTTGCTTTTGGGAAAATAAAGCTAGATTTAATTCTTAGGAAAGTATTTCATTTTTAGTTTGCTTTTTTAAAAAAATAGCAGTCAACTGATTATTTTTAATGTGTAAGTAAATTATTATTTGCATAGAATAATATGTGTTTACTCATATTTTCAGAACAAGAAATTATCCTTGCAACAATTTCCCTCTACAAAAATTATCATCCATGTGTTTCTCTTTGAATTGCTTTTAACAAGCCCAAATCAGGCAGTTGGGTACCTGTTAATTGTTCAGCATACCATAAAGGCAATTATGTATAAATTTTCAAGTTTTTGCTTTAAAGTTCCAGTTTACCTTGTTTCACCTCTTGCATGGTGCTGCTGAAAAGGGGCTGAGGTGGGAAAGTATTACTCGAGAACAGTTTGTGAATTAGTTCAGTTCTCAAAATAGTCTATGTATCAGCAATGTGCCCTCTTGATCCCAGAGATGGGGCAAGAATTAAGTCCCACATGCCCAGTGACAACCATTTTTACAGTGACGATGCTTGACACAGTGGGCTGTTCTGACTTGTAGGTGAAACACAAGGATTCATTATTGCTGAGGGTTTGGAATTTAACCAAAGCCAAAGAACTAGGTAGAGATGAGCACAACTAGGAATCTACATTCTTCTCAAACTTTTTCTCCCTAGTATGCTGTCTCTAGCTTACATCTGAAAGAATTCTTCTTGTCTGGCTTCTATTGTTCTGGTATAGTTTTACAACTGTTGTTTCTTCAGACTTTGAAATATGATCTCATTTAAATTGTGTCACTTTCTGATAAAAATAAGCCTCTTTCAGACAGAATTATTTCTGGGGTACTGTTTAACATCATGTTGTTTTTCCACTCACCCACAATGATAGTAATTCTAGAATTTCTGTAACTTCATCCAGTCCATTATTTATAATAATAACTGGAGGAGTTTATCAACCAAGATTTTCTGTAGGCAACAAAAAGTATTAGCAAAGAAAGCTGAGCCCACACACAATACTAAGGAGCATGTATAGTTTGCAGTTCCTTTTTTTTATTATCAATAGTACTTTACTTTCTTTTTTTTTTAGACATTTACAGAGGTTTTGGATTTCCATTCATTCATTGCCGCACTTTTCTCCCTGCCCACCTCTCCCCACCAGTTCACTCCCCTCTCCAAAAAGAAAAAGAAAGGAAAAAAATCCTTCATTAGTATACAATTCCCCCATCCGTTACCCCCCACCCCCCACCCCTCGTACACTTCTCTATGTGACCTTAATTCTGGATTCCTGTGCTAACCATTTTAAAAGATGGCCAACATGTGGAAAAAAACAAAACAAAACCCCACAATGAACTGCATGCTTTGTTTCCCATTTGGATTCCCAAACCCAGGCAGAAATTAAAATCATACATACTTCGTCCAACAGTGACATTCTGCTGCACTACGCTTATATATAACTGCAGGGTCAGCTGGGGTGCTGAGCCCAGGAAAGCCTGGATGACCGAAGCCCGGCTGAATGCAGATCGGTGGGTGAACAGCTTGCCCTCTGCCTGGCCCACTTCCCTCTCAATCTCTTCTGAGAGGCCATTTTTAGGTATCTGTCGTTTCTTGGTGATACTGACATAAGGCTCTTCCACATGGCCTGACTGGCAGTAGATGCAGAACACTTCAAAACACCTGAAAAAAGAAATTATCAGCAGGTTAGGCTATCAGAGGTAGACCTGTTTACAATGGGCCTGATTCTCAAAGTACTGACTTAATTTATCTAGATTTTAGTCAGCTCTCCTCTCCAAGAATCAGTTCCTAGTAGTCCATCTTTTTGAGGCCTACAGGCCAGTGGCAATTAAATGAGAAAAATATTAAGAAGGGATATTAGGCCCCCATTCTGGATAGATAGAGTGTAACAGCAAGATGGAAGGTGGTATCCTGCTGCCCTGCACACCAGCATCACCAAGAAAAATTATATAATTAGAAAAGGTGGGCAGAGGCAGAAGAGATTCCCAACAGACTACTGGAGATATAAGAGGGAAGCTGCATAGAGGTACATGGTGGCCCTACCCCCCAACACCCCCACACCAAATAGAGAGTGCAGCAGCCAGGGGAAGGTGGTCTCTGGCTGCCCTGTGCACCAGCACCACCAAGGACAATTACAAACTTTTTTTAAGATTAATTTTTTGTTTCATACTGGTTTACTTACAAAGTTCATATACATTGTTTTTCACACTGGAGACAATTATAAACTTTAGAAGAGGGTAGTGCAGGCAGAAGCTACTCCCACCAAGCCATGGGAGACCTGAGAGGATGGCTGCATAGAGGATTAGGGCCCTGGCTCCAAAGCCCCAACCTGGAAAGAGAAAGTGCAGCAGCCAGGCAGAAGGTGGTATCACGATGTTCTGTGCACCAGCATCACCAAGGACAATTACAAATTTTAGAAGAGGTAGGTAGCACTCAGGCAAGATTCCCACAGGGCTGCACTGCTGTTCAGAGAAGGAAAAGTACTTTAGGAATGGCGAGTTTTCTCACTACACAGGACCAGAAAGGACTCCTGGTATAGCATGTTGCCCTTTCCCATAAAGGGAATATTCTATGTTTGCAACTAATCTATAATATTATAAAGACTAAGAACTGTCAACAACCTATGCAGACACAATAGAAACAGCCTAACATGTATCAAGAAACAAGCAGGCAGCTTCAAACACTGTGAAAAAACAAAATAAATATACTACAAAAGCAGAGCGAGACAGAGATGTTGAAGAAAGATATTAACATAGTCATATGAACTGCCACAGAAGATGATGCAAATGATGGAAGAAAGAATAAAAGGCATAAATAAAGCCAATATTCCAGAGACAGAGATACAGAAGAAATATACCAATGTGAAGGAATATGGAAAGCCATGGAAAAAATTTAAAGACATAGAAGAAAGAATTGAAAATACAGGTAAAGAGGTATAAGAATTTTAAAAGTCATCACATGACAGAGAGGGAACAGCCAACACAATACTGAAAATAATAGATAGGCATGAAAATGCCATCCAAAATATCAAGACCAAAATGGCAGAAGTTTCAAAAATTCTTGACAAAAAAAATAGAACAGAAGAGATGGAACAGAGAGTCAGTGAGCTGGAGGACAAGAACCTCAAAGGGAACATACTAGAAGAAAAAAGAGGAGACAGAAGAAAAATGAATATAACATTAGAATCATGTGGGATGACATCAAAAGAAACAATATACATACAACTGGAATTCCAGAACATGATGAGGGGCAGGGAAAGCACTGAGAAAACTGTGGCAGAGGTACTAGAAGAAAATTTCCCGGGCACTATGAAGAATACGGAAATACACATTCAAGAAGTTCAGCCAAAAAGTTTAACAGTAATAAATAGCAAGTAATAAACATTGGAGAGGATGTGGCGAGACAGGAACTCTTATACACTGTTGGTGGGACTGTAAAATGGTACAACCACTCTGGAAGGCAGTTTGGTTCTTCTTCCAAAAGCTGAATATAGACATTCTATATGACTCAGCTATTCCACTGCTTGGAATACACCCTGAGAAAATAAAAACTGAGGCACAAATGGAGACTTGTACACCAATGTTCATAGCAGCATTATTTACCATCACAAGAATATGGAAACAGTCCAGATGTCCAACTACAAACAAATAGATTGAGAAGTTGTGGTGCACTCATACAATGGAACACTATGCAGCTCACAGGAGCAATGATTTTGTAAAATACTACCTAACTTGGAAGGGACTGAAGAGCATTACTGCTGAGTAAAGTAACTCAGTCCCACAAGGACAAATTCTGTATAAAACCATTATTATAGAATGAGTATGAGGATCCAAGGCGGAGGGGAGGATGGAAATAAGAGTGGGAGGTAGGGTGTTAATCATAGGGGTCACAGAATTTGATGGGGGGGTGAAGGAAATGGAAAGGATCTTTTATGAAAAACAATGCATTCAAACTTTGTAAATAAATCAGTATAAAATAAAAAAAGAAGCTCAGACAACCCCAAACAGACTAGACTCCAAAAGAAAACCATCAACACATATCATGAGCAAGTTTTCCAATTTAAAAAATAAGGAAAGAATACTAAAAGCATCAGAAGAAAAAGAGTCACATATAAAGGAAAATCAATTAAAGTTCTAACTTATCAGCAGAAACCATGTGAGCAAGAAGACAATGGGATGGCATGTACAGAAGGCTAAAAGAAACAATTTATCCATGAAATATGAAGGAGAAATTAGATTATTTGCAGAAAAGTAGGAAATTAAGGAATTCATGCAAACAAGATCAAACCTTCAAGAAATTCTAAGGGAAGTCCTTTACACAAAGTAACCAGAAACAGAAAAAGAAATGCAGCAAAACAAAAGTGATAAAATTTTTCAAACATCACACTTAATGTGAATGGATTAAATGTATCAAGTAACTTAAAAAAGAGTAGCAAAATGGATTTAAAAAATCCCCAAAGCCTAACAATATGTTGCCTGTAAGAGACACATCTAAGAAACCAGGAAAAGATTAAAAATCAAAGGGGGGAATACACCAATTAAATGGCACCCACAATAAAGCAGGAGTAGCAAACAGATCTCTGATAAAACACACTTCAGGATGAAACCACCATAGATAAGGAAGATCACTGTATAATGACTGTTACTGTTGTGTACCACAAAATCAGAACTGACACATTGCTATGCTCTAGTGGGTTTTCAAAGGCAGTTAATTGCATGGGAGGAGATGTCAATCTTTCTCCTATGGAGCAGCTAGTAGATTCAAACTTTGTGCTTTTGATATTGCAGTCAAAAGTCATGCCACTAGGCCACCAGAGCTCCCTATATAATGATTAAAGGCACAATAAATCAAGAAGACATAACCTTGCTCAACATCTACATACCAATGATAGACTTCAAAATACATAAAACAAAGGTTAATAGATTTTAAGAAAGAAATAAATAGCACTATAGTAGTAGCAGGAGACTTTAACACACCACTCATACCAAAGGATAGAAAACTTAACAAAGATACAGATCTAAACTATACAATCAGCCAATTTGACCTTGGGAATGTATTCAGGGTACAGCACCCAACCAAAAACCAATTTACTTTCTTCTCAAGAGCACATGGTACATTCTCCAGAATGTATCAGATATTAGGGCACAAAGCAAGCCTCAACAAATTAAAAAACACTGAAATAGTACAAAGTCTCTTCTCAGATCACAATACCATACAACTAGAAATTAACCACAGGAGAGTAAAGCTTTAAAAACTGCTAGTATGGAATCTAAATAACACTCAGCTAGAACACAATTGGGTTATAGAAGAAATAAAAATGAAATTTAAAAGTTTCTCAAAACAAATTATAATGAAATTATAACATGCCAAAACCTCTGAGATGCAGCTAAGGCAGTCCTCAGGGAGCAATTCATAGTAATATGTAAAATCATAACAAAGAAAGAAAGATGCAATATTAATGACCTAACTCAACACCTCCACAAAAGAGAAAAAGAATAACAATCTAACCCCATATCCTTTAGAAGAAAAAAAATTATGAGGACAAGAGCTGCAATCAATGAGATAGAAATCATTAAAACAATTTTAACCACTGACAAGACCAGCAGCTGGTTTTTCGAAATGCAAACTTAACAAAAGAAAGAGAAGGCACAAATAAATTGAGTAAGAAATGATAGAGTTGTCATCACAACAGAACCAAATGAAATTAAATCAATAGGATTGGAATATTATGAAAATACTATGATAAATTTGAGAACCTAGTGGATATGGACAAATTCCTTCAAAATCACACTCTACCAAAATTGACACAGATATAGAATATTTGAACAGACCCATCACAAAAGAAGAAATTGAGGAGGTCATAAGAAGACTCCACCTCAAAAAAGTCCTGGCTCAGAGGGCTTCATGGCTGAATTCTAGCAAATATTTAGAGAACTAGTGGGGAGAAAGCCATGCTCCCAAGTCAAAGGTGGATGACTCTACCCCACAGCCCTCAGACCTGCCTTTAATTGGTTTTGGTGAAACATTCTTTAGGTCGTGTAACCCTGGTATGTCCACTTGCTGTACAGAGGTAACTCGTGGTTGCCATGAAGCCGAATACTGTTACCATGGTGGTGGACTGAGTTTGGTAAAGCTCCCCAATTAAAACAAGCTTGGAAGCAGGAGTGACATCCACTTCCACAATAGCTTGCCTCTGGAAACCCTATGAACCTGGAGAAAGGACGTAAGTTATACAGGAAGTGTCCAGGACTTTGTTCATAGGGTTGCAATGCCTGAGACTTGATGGCACTTAACAACAACAATATTACCAATTCTACTTAAACTATTTTAAAAAAATAGAAAAAGAAGGAACACTTTCAGAGTCATTCTATGAAGCAAGCATAACCCTATTACCAAAAAGAAAACTACAGACCAATATTGCTCATGAATATAGATGCAAAATTCCTTAACAAAATCCTACCAATTGAATCCAAAAGTCCCATCAAAAAAGTAAGTCATCATGAAAAGTGGGATTCATAACAGGTATGCAAGGATGGTTCAACATATGAAAATCAATGTAATTTACCGCATTAACAATGAAAAGGACAAAGAAGGGCTTTATGAGGAGGAGTGTGGCATCAAGATTGGAGGAAGTCTCATTAACAACCTATGATATGTAGATG